CGCTGTGCTTTCACAGCTGATATTATTTATTTAATGTTTAATACTCTTGAGTTAGGAGTATTTACCCAGTTCATTGATATCCTCATGCAAACTGTTGTGTTAGTAGCTTTTTTCGGTTTCCTGCGCTGCGGTGAATTCACAGTCAGGTCCTATGGAGCGTTTAATAGAGAATTTCATTTATGTATTGAGGATGTCAGTTTTCAAGGTGATGCTCAAGTTTTTCTACGGTTGAAGTCATCAAAGTCAGATCAATTTCGTGAAGGAGTGGTAATTAGATTATTCAGAAATGACCGCATGTGTCCAGTACAGAGTCTGAAGCGATATTTGTCTCTCAGAGTGGCTTTGCGTCCTAGACCTAGTTTAGGGGACCCTCTGTTTGTAACTGAAGACAACTTACCACTGACGCGTTCTGTTTTCCTGCAGTATTTACGCAGACTTGTCTGCTCATTGGGTCTCAGTTCATTTCAATTTACAGGCCATTCCTTCCGTATAGGGGCAGCTACGTCTGCAGCAAATGCCGGTATCCAAGATCACATGATTAAGGCACTAGGCAGATGGTCTTCAGATAGCTACTTGAGGTACATTCATACTTCAGGGATGTCAGTCAGATCTGCACATTCTACATTAGTCAGTAGTTTCTAATCTAATTCATTATAAATTTCTCTATCTTGGGGTCATTTCATTTGGGGGCTTTGTATATTTATCATATACTCTTTCTCCCCCAAGATTTGGCTTCCAGCTTTTTAAATTATTATTTATGTATTTTATTCGTATGTATTTATTATTAATATTCATTTACTAAACACATCGTAGTTTACAGCCTCCGCTGCACGGCAAATGTGATATCCCAGAGTTCAATGCGTTTTGTACCATCCAATATACACTTTATCTCCGCACGAGGGCGCAATTTCAAATTGAAAGAAAAACTAGCATACACGCTATAACCATTCTATGACCTCAATTGACCCACCAGCCTCATTCCCAACTTGATACTGGAATTCTCATTTTTTTGATGTATTTAAAGTTTTTTACCCGGATCGTTTTAACCATTTCAATAAATAGTTATAGACTATAATTGATTATGCGAAATTACTGCATTTTTGGTGGTTTTTGGCCTACTCCTCTC